AGCAACCAGGTACGCAGCAAGCGGCAATACTTCGGTTGGCAAACGTTGACTGTAAAAGACGTCCGCTATGAAGAGGTTAGTTAAAGTAAAAGCCCGGTAACCGCCTAGAGCATGCCAATCCGATTTCGTAGTCTTTGGATAATGAGCCTGGAAGAGATCTACTTTACTCTTTACTAGTTACGAACGAAGCGAAATTCTCATATAACAAACTTGTGAATTCATAAACCTTCCCGTGATATTCTCAGGCATAACGAATTACATTTCTAATTAAACAAATATCAATATTTTTTATTGAGTAAAAATCAATCTGAAAATTAATACGGACATATCACCTGTCTAGAGAATGCATAGTTAATGATGTCGACGAGATAGTCAGAATGAGCTGAATCAAGGTCCACTCGCCAAAAAATACCAGCACGATGATAGTCCACACCAGTCTCTTCCTTTCCAACCGACACGGAAAGTGCTGTTTTCTCTATAATATAGGGAAAAAAGTTCCCTTTACATCAACAAGACAGTGTAAAATAACTAAAGGGACTTAATGTATTGAAGACTGCAAACCAAAAGTATCCCTGACGTGTTGCCCGTTGTGATGCTTGGAACGTCCGTCTTCGCCTAGATATTGTAGGAATGAAGCAATTAAAAAGAAAGTGAACATCTATGAGAGGACTAATTCATTTCAGAAACTTAAACTAAGAAGAAAGTGGGTTGAAAACAAATCAGCGTTCGCTTCCCGTTGAAATTGTAATAATCGAAATATGACGCACTTACTGTGGGAAGACGACCACCAATTCCAACTAAAGGATTTCAGAATCCTTTCGAAAAAGCGGGATTCTCCTCGTTCTTCGGACTTCTGGAGAGATATATGTCAGTTTTGTTCATTAAAGATGCTATCAAATTTTGTTGGTATCGAAGGAGAGGGAGCTACGCTTCTCAATTCTGTACAAAATCACGAAGGTATTGAGATGAGCATCTTTATCTTTATCTTGAAGGTATCATACGTAATAAGTTTCCGGAGCACCAAGAATTCAAATCGGTGGTACTCGGTTTCTGACTGGACTCCTGACTGGATGACAAACCAACACCAAGACCGTCGCCAAGGCGATGGTTAGACTTCTTCCCGAAAGCTTTGAACGAAAGGAATACTTTGTAAAATGTCTCTCGTGCGAGGGCAATCCACCGAACAACCCTTGCTCGCGACTGGGACGCATGGAGACGTTACTGGTGCCCGCTCGGCAATCGATGATCAATGGGACAGCAGGTGATACAGGTGATACTCGGAAAATAACTTGAAAAGATGTTTCCTACTCCACTCGATGCACAATTTATTAAGTAAGCCTTTCTCCACAGTAAAATTAATAAAAAAAACAAAGTTATATCACTGTCTAGAAATACCGAATATCGTTACCTTGGGAGGATTTGGTTGAGCGCACTCTTCCTCTTTTGCCGGTTGAACTTCTTCCTTCTTTGCATTAGAAGTTTTTGTGGGCTGCTCAAGGCGTTGCCTGTGTTAACGAAAAATGATTCATGACTGAAGACAAAAGCTGCTCAGTTTTTATGATACATACCCGACCGATATTTTACTGAAGTTGCGCACTAGTGATTGAGCATTGTCGGCCTGGAGAATCACAGCTTTTAATTGAGTTTCTAATTTCTAAAGTACCTAAGTTATTTTCTTATTACACTAACTCATCCGAATGCTTTATACGAAACGATTCTCCCAGAATTAACACACATCATAGCTTACCATTAAAGACAGGCGTGTGACTGTGAAGAAGAGGAAAGGAGGGAAGGGAAGTGAATGTAGTCGGCAGCGGGAAGCAGTCACATTTACGATAAGTGTACAAAGTATATCGAGAATATAGGAACTCTAGGGTTGGTCTGCTTCACATCACCCCTTTCGTTACTTCTTTCTCACCCTTACCATCCCTCGTTATGAAGGGAGTAACGATATTACACACCTACAGACATTAATAGCTAGATTCTTTCCAGTTTGCCTAACCTCTTGCTTGGTGGCAATTCTTTCAGACGCAGACGTGTGCACAAACTCATGAACCTTGTTGCTCAACCTTGAGAAATAATGCCTGTATGGGATTTCATCCTTTCACGATTCTTAGACAAGCATCAAAACATAACAAAAGTCAAGAAAGACTACATAAAAGCGTTGACGCGTGCCCACGCAACCAGTCGCTTGCAGCCGCTCGCTCAATGTTCAGATACTGCGTCATTACTGCCCTCAGATAGAAGGTTTTCTCCCATAAACTGAGAACCTTTCGAATTGCCAGTGAACAAATTGGTGTTAAACTGAAAACAAAATGCTTGCCGTAGCTTAAAGTAACCCAAATGCAACTCAGTGCTTCTATCATACTACAAGGAAAAAAACGTGTAAACACGACATGGAACTTTCATAAACAAACTAACAAACAAATCTTCAAACTTACAGTTTCTTTCGTACCACGAGCAATATTAGCTTCATTCGAAACATCGTTAGGCTTTCTCATGCGAAGTCCACGTCGAGCCATGCCCAACAGTTATGGACTGTTGGTAAAAGCTGGCAACTGAAATATCGAGTAACCCGAGTTCTCTAGCTATTCAGCCCTAGCCAGAATCTCCCTATTACTCAGTTCTGAGTGGCTACACAATCTACAGGAGTACACTTTCAGGAAACATGTCAAATAAGTACACAAAAAGAAAGTGATACCATAAAAGGAGTAAATTTACCAATAAGAAAGCCCAAACATAGGGAATTTCCGACAAAATTACATCTGATATGGCAGAAGACCAAAAGTGGCCCACTCGATCGACGACTGATAATTGAGCGAGAACAATCGAGAGCAAAAAAACCTGTGACCTACCATGGTCCTATGAATGCAAAGAACTTGTCGCAGGAGTTGAAGACTTCTGCAATCCTCTAAAGCGGTGGCCCCTCATGTAGGTTGACGGTTGAAGGATTGGCTCACTTGAGTTGAAGGGAGAGCTCTCGAATAAAGCTCTTTTTCGCTTCTCTGCACCTTCTGAGCAAAAGAGTGCAAAGCGGCAGGAATCGCAAGAACGAGGTAACTCGTCCGCGACAGCCGTGCGCGACTTGCAAATTCAATGGGAGCGATACATCTTCCTGAATCCCGTTGAGGACACTGACGATCCCCGAGATGCCAAATCACTATATGTCAGCATATCGAATAATAAGGACCAGGTGGTGTAGTGGCAAGTGGCACACTACTGCACAGCCATGGTCCGGGGATCGAATCCCGGAACAAGATGCGCCTAGGCCAATCAAGGCTTCCATCCCTTCAGGTCGGTTAAATGGTTCCAAGCTCGTTTGCAAGGACAAAAGTGCTGACTCTTACATCAGCTTTACACCTCAAGTAATTGCCCATTACACGCATTCAACCCGCCTACGATTTTGAGTAAAAGTCGAAAGCGGGGCGAATCCTAGAAACGGGAACGATTAACTGAAGACTTCATACCTGTCTGGCTAGTGATCGAGGCTACCAACCCCAATATTATTTCTAACGATAATTTCACTACTATCCCTCCAGAGGAAGAAATATGAAACTTATATTAGTCACCACTACGGGCACGGTTGATGGGAGAAGCGAAAAATAAGTCCACACTTCCTCCCCTGCTCTGTGGTTGGAAGACTCGAATACGAAGTCGAAGAAAAAGGCATTGTCAAAACTGGAATTTTGCTCAATAGATGGACGTGAGGAATTGATCAAGGGACGTCAAGGGAAGCTTTTTTTAACAGTCGAGGTCTTTACGATGACATTCGATGTATTTTTAAGGAGGATCACATTCATCTGGCCCAACGCCACTAATTTGTTCAGAAACCTTTCAAATGAGCGTAAAGATGGAGACGAAAGTGAAGGATTAGAGTATGAGGGCTCTGGTGCCCTCGAAGCACAAGCATGGGTTCGACTCCGCAAACAGACTGAATTTTTGCTCACTATTCGCTAATCTTATGAGGTTCACAATTACTCAATCATTTGTGCTATGTCTATGGCTGGCCCACCATTAATGTTTAGAGACTTTTTGTTCGAAGTGCGTCTAAGTTTGGGTACTGTGCCAATATTGGGCTATGTCTCCGTTTCCCCCTGAAAATAGTTCAGCGTCAGTTCTTTTCAGGTTTGTTCGTTCCTGAGACATCTTCAGAGAACATCTTTCTTCCAATGGGATCCTTATTTTCAACCTTACAAACGGAAATTGAAGCCAAAGGAGGTGCCTCAGCTTCTACCCCTCATGCTAATCTACTCCTTTAACCTCCTTCATCAAATCACGCCCTCAAGTTCCGAAACTCCGTAACCCCCGAGATTTTAGACACGAACGGTTCTGAATTATGGACAAACACCAAAACTTAGGCAAGGCATCGACGAAATGGAGTCATCAAGAAATAGAAGGACAGACTTCCTCTGTCAAGGATCTCCTTTCCACCCAGTTCCAATCTGTCCGCCGACGCCAGCGGGTCTGTCAACCACCTAGCCAGCACAAGAGCAGCGCTACGATCACACCAGATCCCAGGCTTGCACCCATCTAGAAATTGTCCGAAACCACTAGACATGTTTCAGGAAAAAAAAGAAATTTTATTAAATTATATCATGCATTATCACAAAAACAATCACAGTTCATAGATTTGTTCAAACTAAAATTTGACAGATTTGTAAGAAAGGATCTGGTCCAAAGGCGTCTTGACTTTTCAGCTCCTAACAAGAACGCGTCCGAGCTGCTCGCGACTCTCGCGGCTGTTCACAACCTCGCGGCTGCGGACAGTCTCGCGGCTGTTCATCTCTCGGCTGTTGACAATCTCACGGCTATGACTGCTTCTGGGTGGCACTTGGGTGACGTTCCTTTCGAGAAGGATGTTACGTACCACCTCCCTTGAATTCGAGTTTAGCGATCTCGAAAAACGTCCTGAAACAAGTAAAGTTGAGTTCGCTTTTTCTATTTCCAACTCCATCTCCCATCCCCTAAGTGGAATACAACAGAGGCGCTTCCCTATAGCTAACCCCGAGAGCCGGTTTAGACCCACCTTTCGAGGTTATGACGACAACTTTCGTAGATCCATGCCTTGATGGATGGAGGCTGTGGAGAGGTGGTCGTTTGAAGCCAAGTGGGTGTGCTGTAAGAATACAATCAAGTAAGACCTGTACCACTCAGCTAATAGCTTCTGATGACTCACGACGCCATCGGATCGGGTGCTTGGGCTTCTCTTTTTCCTCCTTTTCTTCCTCTGGCATCTCTTCTCCGCTTCCTTCACCGCTACCCTCACCACTACCCTCGCCGGTTTCTTCTCCACTACCTTCACCGCTTCCCTCCTCACCACTTCCTTCCACTACTTCCTGAACTGGATGTTACAGAATCACTAAAGCAGTACTAAAGCCCTAATGTGTCTTACCAGTTCCACTCCTCTGATTAGGTCGTTCAGTTGCTCCTTATCGGTGAGGAATTGGCATTGTTCAGGCATCTGACGATTCACGAGTGCCTTTGCCCGTTTTCCTAACTCATCGAGGATAGCAGCGGATTTGAAAAATGGCCTCATGACAGCTTCCTGAATGGGGATTCAACAGGGACGAAAAATCTACCTACTTTTTCATCAATAAACTTACCACTACAACAGTTCCAGCTGGCTCACCACATTCATTATTGAGCTCCCTAGCCACACAGCTGCCCATGCATCCCAGAGACGTGCATACAGGTCCGAGTTCCTGGAATGGGTAAGTCAGATATGGGACCTCAACAGAACGGAGCTGGTCAGTTACCTTCTCAAACAGCCAACTGGGCCTCTTGAACTTGGAGAAGCGACGTGAGGCTTCGTAAGCAGTGACCTGGGCGATAGAATCGGTGAACGTGCAATTCGCATCGCAGTTCTGCACGACCTCTTCGGTCCTGTTAGCCAGACACTCCACATGAGGCTCGATCTCCTCCGCTTCCTCGTCACATAACGTCTCGAAGCCACCGAACAAAGTATCGAATAGGATACCTCCAAGACAGTTCTCCTGCTCGTCTACACATAATGCAGCTTTGTTGTAGGTCCTGAAAGGAATTTTGATGAACTCAGAACTTGTACCTTACCCATAGCCACTCCATTCGAAGTACTGACCTGCATAACTCACTGAAAGTCTCGGTCGTATTTTCCAGACTGAGCAATTTACCGGTTATATAAAACAGGTCAGACAGGCAGGTATGAGCACATGGAGGCAGCCCACCTACTTTGAATACTCCAACATTGAAGAATTCATGGCCTAAAAGACGGACAGCACATTACGGCGGAGTAGGCTCCAGCAGAAGGAAGGCACAAGAGACAGTACTTACACAGACTTCCGCCAATAGAAACGAGTAGTACGAGCAAGGACAGCCTCATGGCCAGCTGGACCTGACAAAGAATTTAAAAAAGGTTAGATGACGACTATACAAGAAAACGTATTTCTCCCAACCGTTCTACCANAGACAGTACTTACACAGACTTCCGCCAATAGAAACGAGTAGTACGAGCAAGGACAGCCTCATGGCCAGCTGGACCTGACAAGAAGTTTTAAAAAAGGTTAGATGACGACTATACAAGAAAACGTACCTACGCAATCAGTTCTACCACCTTTATATGTCCCTCCCAGTTAGAATTCCCGCCGGATCACCGTTACCAATAGATCAGCCCCTGTCTGATCGCGACCATTCGGTGTCATGGCTGCTAAACCTTTACATTAAAAGTAAAAATTAAATTGGAAGCAAAGAGAAGTGCAAATAAATCCTCTTAAGTGACCGATTCGTATTTTATGCGTTGGGAGCACTCTATACCTCCTTAAACCTCACTAAGTGATTGTTCTCATTAGCCACTGTTCTAAAAACTCCAGGATGCTACAGAGTGGCACTAACGCAAAGAATATAAATTGATCATTCAAAGTTTACCTTTCAGAAAGCATAATCAAACAAAACCAATAGAAAATATCCTTTATAAACAATGCTATCAATCAATCATTATTTATCCATTGGGATACGGTCACTTGACCATCAAGGACGATTTGGAGTAGTATAGGTCGATTGTGAGTACCGCAGTAGAAAAGCTGGAATTCTAGGTGAAGTAGGAATAGAGAAGCATCCCTTCGCTCTGTTTCTCTCCGCTCAATCATGTTCGACTATCTTTGAAGCTGCTTAAAAATGGTTGCTCAGCGGTCGCATGGGTTTCCTAACTTTACCTCTGTCGCCAAGAAACCGCTACGTAACTTGTGAAGACTATTAAGGCATTTTTACCATAAAAGCAAAAACCGGCTCAGCGTCTAAAAACTTTGAAGCGGTTACTGTACTGTACTGTGCTGTACCGAGAGTTACTGTATCCATCTGGCTATAAGAACCATTTGATCTGCAGCCATTGAGTCAATTCCGATTTCGGCGCGAGAGTACCTTAGTGATCGACTTGTACTATGGACTTAGTAACCCTTAGTGGTTTTTGGAGTTCGCTGTCCTTCTACCCACCTCCCTCGACGGGTTCATGCATCGATATGCTTGCAATGGATTTTACTTTTGATCAGATGGCCTCCGCTTTAGCTCCAATCCAAAATTGTCATGATTCCAATTTACTTTTCAATTTCCATCTTGTGTTAACATCTCTTTTCAGTATGCAAGCCCTCTACGTGCTTCTTCCACTACTGGCAGCCTTAAGCCTTTCGAGTGAGTCGTTAAGAATTTTTAATCCTCCACTAACTTTGCTAATCATCATTTTCGTTATGAGACTCTCCAAGGCAGTGACTCATTCTGAAAACGCTTAGTCATCAGATGATTACTTGATGCTTCAGAAGCCCATGAGGTCGAATCAGAAGATGCCATTTTCGATGCTACGGGAGTGCCCCAGTGTATTCAAGCATGTCTCTCAGATCTCCTCTACGCAGTTACCGAAATGATTCATTTACAGAATCCCGTGGCGAAGTTTCCAGGATTATGCGAGTGAGTGAACCTGAGATTACTAAACGTGCTCGTGGGAAATCTTTGACTGTTCAGAGAGGGATTATGAGTCAGTGACTTTCTATGGTAGATGTACCCTTCCCAGATAGATTCCAGTGCCATTCCCGTGGTACAGAAAGAGAGAAAGAGTCAGTATTCAGTTAATCCGACAGGGGTTAAGCGTGACTGACTGGTTTTCTCGGAGTACATCTGCTCCCCCTCCCCTTTCTTCTCTTTTTATACTCACCATCCTTTGAAGACGTCGATCGTTGAGATCGGAGAGCTTGGAACATGGACCCAAAAACCACCATGAGATTGAGAACACTCGAACACCCTTCCAAGCCACAAGTTTGTCTCTGGAGCATCTGGTGGAGGATACGGGAACTTCCCAAAAACTCCTTTCACTGGAATTTTCATCATTTAGTTTGTTTTTATAATCTCAGGACTTATCGCAAGGCCTCATCATGCATCGAGAACCAGAAGGAGGCTTGCGTACAAACGACTCTTTTCGAGATAGCCCTAAGTGGACTTGACGAGCTCTGCAACGATAGGGAAGAAGGTAAAGCGCTTTTTCAGACGTTTTCCCGGATTAGGCGGTGTCGATCTTAGCTAATTCAAGCCAGTTAATTAATAGTTAATAACTGATCAATAAAAGCTTAATCAAGTTACCTAACTAATAACTGAAGAGTAATATGGATCTTGACTTTCTTGATTGTAGACCTGGCACCTCATAAGGAATGTCTCGACCGACATGCTGATTTGATCCTGAAAAACTGCGACCACTCTTGTCATCTTACCAGTGTGTTGTCGCATTTGGCAGAAAACGGAGATGCTGAAGCTCTGCAGAAACTCGAGGAAGATCATGAAGCACTGAAGAAGGTTGGTAAACAGCCAAAAGCGAATTCCAGTGTTGAGGGCACTTCTTTAAGGAGCTCTCAAGCCTCTGTACCACATTCGGATGTATGTCATCGTGCGTTGCTCATGATCTCAATGTCCAATGCTCTCCTGTTGGGACCATCATTACGGTAGGTTTTGGCTCAGTTCACCAATATGCCTAATATCGGACCAAACGTCAGACTAGTTCCGTTTGACTCTAACCCTCCCTATTACGTTTGTGTTCCCATTTGTTTACGCGACATTTCACTTCCTCATCATATCTGGGAAAGCCCCACCCACTTTGATTCACGTTTTGCTCCTTCGCTAACAAACCGATTCTTCTCTCCACTGCTCTATTCAACATGCGACTGTCTACACTGTCTCTCTCAGGCTTCTTCATATGAACTGTACGAGATTCTATTTATACCTTTCAGGAATCTCTTCTGAGACCTTTTCACACCGCTGCAACTATTTTCGAAGAAATCGGTCCTCGAGCGAAGATCTCAATTTATCGTCAGATTCCACCGCAATGCTATTATCTGACCAATCTCAAAGATGTCCAAGGAATTGCTGAAGGCAGACAGCCTCCAAAGGTAGCCTTCCTTGAAAGAAGAGGTACTGAAATTGAATGTAATAGTTTCAGCCATCAGACTTAAAACCCGAAGACGCCATCCTGAAAGAGATCAGGCTTAGAGAGCAGCAACGGAAGCAAAAGAAAGCTGAACTTGAGCACCTGTTCTTGATGGATGCGAAGCAAGGTAAGTAGTAGGAGTTCTGGCACTTACCCAGTGTATTCATAGTCGGCGCATTTCGAACGCGTTGGTATTTGGCAATTGCCCAATCAATATCTATCTTTATCACTGCTTCCAAATGAGAAACAAATGCTTCACTGCTGGTCATCGCCTGAAACGGTACCTTATTCTCTAGTGATCATCGTGTAAGTGAAAGGAAAAAAATGTCACTTAATGAGGAATGCGACGCGACCGCTCGCATCAGTAATCGGCTAACCACCGATCCTTTCTTTGAAGTTCCACCTTTCTTATTAGGTTGGAGCCTTTTCTAACCAGTAATTCGAAAAACATAAAGATTTCCATTTCAGGATATTAGCAGAAACTCGAGATCGCTTCTTCACACTAATGAAAACTGATCTCTTTCCCTACTCAACAACACACTTCGCTACTTTGATTAATTCCATGTCAACTTACTTTCTAATGACTTTTCTAGAATTTCGAAAGATTTGTGAACATTACGCTTGCTCTTCTGTCGTCTGTATTTCAGAATCCTTGAGTTGTTATCATCTTTGTGCATGTGTATGTAGATTTACCATAACATTTCCTGTGATTAAAAAGCTTTTATATACAAATAAACAATAACTGACGGTTCGGTATTTCACGAATCGCTAAATATTTAGCGGACGTGCTCACACAACGCTGGAATCAATTGAAATTGGGCCAATCTTTGAGCCTTGATAACCACCTAACTAGGCCGCTTTCCGGCCTAATAGTGCCAGATATGGTATGCGCGGGGGCCTCAAATTCATCCTGTGGGGGAACCTTAGAAACCATTTCTATCGTGAACTGTGCCTTTAACGAGTAGCATTGCAATGCTTACAGCAGAGAGAAATGAAATTCAGCTCAGATTCCCAAAACAACACAGAACTGATGCCTAGGAGTTTCAAGTATTAAGGAGCACCCGCACCCAATCGATCTATACGATACGTCATTTAAGTCACAGACCGACAGGCACATCAATGAAATAATTTATTCAACATTTACAACATTAAATATATTAATATGTACAGCTACACTAGCCCTTTAATATGAGGGCGCAAAGGTGAATGGAAGATAAATACTTGAACAAATGTATGAGATTCGATTATCAGATCAAATCCTTAATGCGTTATTAAAGACGACGGGCATTGACGCATGCATATACAAATCTTACTCAAAATAAATATTCTAAATAGAAATCCAATGTTATAATCCATTCAATGAAAATGGCTGTTAGGCGGTCATAAAGAAAAACGTGGATGAATCACACGAAATTGTGGCACAATCAAGTAAAGCAGTAAGTAACTGAGTGCGATTTACAAAGTTAGCTTTCTAACGACAAAAATTACGATCAACTATTTTCTTACAGGTTTTGCACTTTACATCACAACACCATATAAATCGACATTGGCATGGTTCGTCTACCACTTCCCTTACAGTGTCCCAACCTGAAGATCAGGACTATACGATAGTAGCCAGATAAAGGAATATCACGTATACAAACAGAAACAAATTACACCACTAACCTCGTCCGCAACAAATCTCGTCACAATTATTTCCACAATGGCGACCTCGAGTATCCACTGAGCAGTAGTCGGGTGAGGAATCCAGATAAACCAAGTCACCTTTCGCTGCCTAGAAAATTTTTGCCGTCATCTTCCAACTATAACATCTATAAGGATAATTTCCAGCGTTTATTAATACGTGATGGAAGCGCCCCGCATCCAGCTTCCATGCAGAATCGCAGTGTCGTTTGAATGCGTATGTGGGCTATACAATGTGTTATGGTGACCAGACGATGTAGGACGGTATTTTTATACCCTCGGACGAATTTTGTACCATTTAACCAACCCGTAGAGGTGGGAAGCCTGTTGGTTTGAGCAGACAACGAGGCGGGATACGATCTCAGGCCATGTGTGTGGGATAGCGTGCTACTTGCTACTACACCACCTCAACCCTCCAACAGAAAAAAAGAGGATGGGTAAAATTCATCGACCCACCTTGTGTTTATCTCCCTTATCCTTCAGGTAACGCTCCGTACGTTTCCCGTCTAGCACAGGTTCACGCACCATTAAGGTCGTGCCATGAGGAGCAACAGTCACTTGTTGAGCCATCTCGTACTTATGCATCAACAGCTCTGAGAACTCGTCAAACCTAAAAGAACAACATAACTCAGAGTGTAGTCCAATCGAGTAAAGTTGAACGAAAGCCGAAAACCATTAAGGCAGGCTGAAAAAATATCGATCATCTCGAGATTACGCCGTACAGTCCACTTCGTAAATACTGCAAAATTTATGCTAGTTGGACCTACTGCGCAACGAAACCGGCCAGGATTGATTAGTATTTACTTTTTGATATCTGATACCTATTAAAGCACCCAAGAAGGCTGATTAGCCACTAAACCCTTTCAAGCCATTTTCAGCGACCTACCCGCCTTTTCATTCTTCTCACATTCAAATCTAACACAGAGAATTACAAATGAAATCAAATGGTGATTTCGACTGATTTCGAACAGCACAAAACAAAACTCACCTTGGCACCACTTTCCAACAGGTCTTCGTTACACAGCTCCCACTTACGCCATGACATTTACACTCTTTTCCCATTCGGCTGGCAAGAAGACGGCGCCCTACTCGATTGTTGTGCAGATTCATCAGAGCTCTATGAAAGATTTCAATATATTGTACTCCGTCACGAAATTCAGAATTAACGGGAAAATGTAATATAAAAAAGTTCTTTCTCCAACCTGGCATCACTGTGAACCTTATCGGTGACATCTATGAACTTTCTTCCAAAGGAATTTCCATATCGTACATTATCCGAGCAACCGGCCCAGACGAACTTATTCGACAGTGACGAGGGGATCGGTCCACAACCGCAGTCATCAATGAGACCCTTAACAAACAAGTACTATCGATGGTGAATACAGTTTATTATCTTCAGCTTTTACTCTGAAATTTTCAATATTCAATATCCTAACAAATATGTCGCAACGAATCTTCTAGCATCATCAGCCAAAAAGGGTGCGTCAGGCCCTAGCAGGATCCACTTTAGTGGAGAAGTAGCAAACTCGTGGTGATCTTTTTGGCGTTAATCAATCCTGGCTTCGGAATACGCACAGTACTTGATTTCCATTCAGAAGCATAGTGGTGTTTTCTAATGTGTATTTGACCAATACAATGACTTCCGGTGGCCACCCGCTGCACAAAGCAGTGTTTTATCCTCCCGGATGAGTCAGATACAGACTAATCGATCACTGGGTTGAAGCTGGCTCCAACTAATTGATTCTAGAGGGATGGAGAGTTAACAATTTTTTTACAGACCTCACTCAGCACTTTCACCTCAAAACTCCATAGAATAAAGGCAGTAGATTCGATAATGTCGAATTAAAATGAAACCCTGGGAAATGCTGGCCAGTTTTCAATTAGGAAGCTACTCACTTTAGCACATGCTTTCGCAAGCGAATGACTCACACCAGCGGACGCTATCGCATACACAAATGCCGATTCCTTCGATGCTACTGAAAATTTTAAAGGATGAAACAAAGAGGTCAAAAATCAAAGTAATACTCAGTAGAAAGCCAGAATCAAAATCTGAAGGCACTGGACGGAAGAACTCACTTTTCAACGGTGTCGTTCCTACACCAGGTGTAGTAAGCGTACAATTCCACACTTGATTACTAAACGCTTGCTGACATTCGGATATTGCCATTCTCAAACCATCAATCTGAATTTGCCTAATATAAACGAGGGGACCGACATGATTGTTTCACGGATACGGTACCACTCACAAGAAATTTCATTGTAACCGGATGGCGAATGCATAATTCTCGTTGCTTGTTGCTTAGGCCGGGCACAACTGAACATGCTGACGGATACGTAGCGATACGAGACGGATCCGTTTCAGACAGTAACCTGAAAGTCAACAAACCTCAATATGGGGAACATGAACCCCTAGCCAAAAGAAGTCTTAAGTTTTCATTAAATTATGGTATTTACCCTAAAGTTTGGAGGTGAACTTGTACGTCATCCAAATCGTTTTTCATCGTGAAAGAGCACCTATATGATCCTAGCCTGGCTTCTTTTTTTGTTAAACCCAGCTACCTTTTACAGAGGTTCCTACGATTGCTAAACCCATAATTAAGGCTTCTAATTGGTCCGCTACTCCAATTACCACGTATCATATGCCATCTACCCTTTCCGTTTCCGCCTGCCGCCGCCATGAAAAGTTGATGGTATCGAGGGAAGGGTCAGTGGGAACTGCGAAACGAACACACGCTTCACAGTTTCACCAACCCTTGAATAAGAAGACCGTGAGACATATTCCCTCGCTGAAGAACTCACAAAAGACTTTCGACACTGTGAAAGATCTCCCCTCATTTATAAGCCGTTCAAAGCATGAGCCATCCTGGATGGGTCTTTTACGGGCAATGGGGCACTTAGGCTATGAATCTCTGATCTGCATGGCACCCATTTACAACCCACACGTGCCTCGTCATTGGTATAAGAAGTATCCCCATTTACGGTGAACCAAGACCATCAGCAATTAGCCAATTCACCAAGAGCAACCAATAAACGTATATGCATATGAATCAAGCATAGCCAAGAACGCAACAATCCGCCTGTATCCGATTGGTGCATGTCGTAAATCGGTCATAAACTGCATACGGGGTCATGCCGCTGAGTCTTTGCCGAAATACCGCTAACACCACGACAGCTTGCGCAGCAGCACATAAAACGTCCGAACAGCACGCACCATACTTGTCTCGAAAGCTCTTTTCTTTGCTTCCCTGATGCCGACTCGGAACAGAAAGCTAGCTACTCAGGTGAAGGAATCGGTCGACAGGCGCCACGCTCAAACTACCTCGTGCCAGTGTGAAATGACATCGTAAAACGGCCGAAGAGGAAGCATTTGACGGCTTGCCACAGTAGGCTACCGAGGAAAGATGTCGCCGGAAATGATTCCAAGGGGAAGAAGAAGTACACGAAACCCTTGAAATCACTTCGCTACCATTCACCCAAAGCCACTTCAATTAGCTAATCCATGAGTTCCCCATCCCACCAACCGTTTCAATTCCAAGCAAAGGGGTAAAACCGTAAAAGGTGTGAAACCTAAATGGCTAGGAGTCAGGAGTGTTTGCCCAGTAATAAGGAGGCATACACCCAACAAAATGAAAAAAGCTGAATGAAGCCGAGAAAGACATGTATCCGCTGTAAAAATGGCTGTAAATGTGACATGCATACGGCGGCAAACATCCCTTCTAAATATGGCGGCCAGCTCTGTTCTTCACCTTCAGCAAATGTTACCGCTCATAAACAAGGCATACTGGCATCGGCGATATCCATAAGGATCCAATTATTGGAATCAGGAGGATATGTGGATTGACTAAATCACAGAACTTGATCCTTGGTTATATTTGTACAGTGGACCGTCTCTACTACTCCCTAGATGAAGTATTGAGGAGTAGCACACATGCGCCATTCAAAACCTTTGAGTCCCCATAGTTAGACTACTTACACCTGCGCTTCACTCAACAACTCGTAATCAGATACTCTTCCACCTCCTTCGCCCCAAATATAGCGGTTTACCCGCTACGAAATGAGATTGGGAGGGATAGGATCAAGTGTTAGGCATTGACTGATTAGGATGCATTGAACATCCAACTCCAACGGAATCTCGACCAGTTGACATTCCAATCGGAAGTTGTACTTCGTAGTAGATCCAGGGATGCGCCAATGTACAAATAGAGATTTTTGCCTACCATTACTAGTCTCGTACCAAGTGGCAAACCCAGAAGGTATAAAAAGCTTAGCGGGCCCAGACGGAGAGAGTTACGAATCGTTCACGCGCGTGTGGTGGGCTATCCTTCTCCTCATACTATTACCAGGTTACTGTCATTGCGACTATTCTGAACACAAGAATGTAATTTAATGTCAAATCCTGAGGAGCCCTTTACTGTTATGCTTATCTTTGCTATGCCCCTTATGCATATCTTAGCTAGCAAAAAGAGCTCAGAGGGGATTTCAGAAGTGACTTACTAACCTTCCCTTACCGTGTGACTCAGCCTCAAGATCAGAATCACTCCGCCTGTGACCACTGAATACATAGTAAGGTAATCTTCGCAGTAAAAACAGCCTCAATGCCACAAAATAATAGAGCACTTTTAGAAAAATCAATCCTGACCAAGGAAATCTCTCATGAAACGTTTAACCCCTTACTGGGGCATCTTGAAGAGGGTGAGAATGCACCATGGGCAGAATGCTAAAATCCAGCAATCTCGCCTAACTCACACTTTTCTCAAGCCTATCGAATGATTTCGACCCCTTGCAAACATTCCTGCTTCAAAATAAATCTTACTGATCATTCTGAGCGTGACCTCAATCACTCCTCATCCCAGCCTTAATCAACGAAGACGCACTTTTCGCGATTAGCTATTGGACCTGATACTGCCCAGCTCCGTTTGAGCCCTCTCCTAAGCGGAAATACTTCATTGGTCCAATCGTACATAACGCTTTCACAGGACTGAGTACACTTTTGGAAGCGTCCAATGTTCCAAAATGACGCCTTGTTTGGAGTTCTCACTCATGCAATTGAACCTCCTTAACTGAGAGATTTATGAGTAATGGAGAAGACCAAAATCTGGCTCCATTTATCAGGTCGATGCCGAAATAACACGAAAAAGCCCCGAACCATTAGGAAATAACAGCTTCTCAGAGGCCCTTACTGGTAGTGGGAGTATGGGAAACGTCCTTCAACTGCGTAATACTTTCACACATAGGTCCTATAAGCGATCAGCATTACGTCATTATACGACACACATGGCGCACTAAGCTGTGCCATATAAAGTAGTATCTATGCGAAACAAAAATCTTAGCGCTATTCAATGGTGACCAGGCCGAGCGCATCCTTCAGTCGCATACGGCTCATTAAACTGCAATAGATACCAGCGCACTGCGGCTTCTTTCCCTATACCGTTCTAGTCGGACTAGGACAAAAATGAGGGCGTCGCTTCAGACCGGTACTAACTTCGACGATTGGGTCCCATAGCAAGTCTAAAAAAACGGACCATAGGCAAGAAGCCCGCAACTTATTTAAGACCTGGTTTTCTTTAGGCTATCTTCCAATTCATCATTAAAGTTAGCCGTTGTTCCCCAATACGATGAGATTAAACGCAGTCTGTTACATGGAATTCCCATCGATATGTCCTACTACGACCAGCCGAAAACACATGGGCATTACTAAAAACCCAAGTTTTTTTTTCTCGAAACGAGAGAAAACAATGCATGTGAAAGGCGCAGCTGGTACCAACCGTGAATCGAACAATAGAAACAACGATTTGTATGAAATGGAAACAAAACTGAATACTTCAACTGTAAAGAAAAGGGAAAGTTTGGAGAAGAAATTGAAATGTACACTGCCAACCCGAGGTTACAAAGTCAACTGCTGAATACCGTAGAAGAATACTTAACGTAATGCTATAAATAGACAATAAAAAGGTATTGATTAACGTACCACCATGAATCCACGTAGCCAACTATCGTAGCCAATACTATCAGTAGTGATCGTAACATAACAGGTAGAGCGTGAACAAAAGCACAGTCTTACGTGATGGGTGGTAGCTCACACGAAAGGGGCGTGGCATTGAGGCGGGCCGATACCGTAGCCAGCGAGGAGCATGTTGAGCTTTTTGCGGATAGGGAAAGAGTAGTATAAAAGAGAATACGAAATTGTAATGAAATATCCTACTCACCGCACTGTCCTCTATCTTGAAGTCCGCTTTGAAATTGCGACTCGGAAACGGAGTCAGCCATGTTCTTGCACCTGCCGCTAGATCTACAACAAAGATAGGTATATTGGTCAAATGTTCGGTCAAGTCACTAGGCAATCAATGAAACCCTACAAAATAAACAGAATGAAAACCTTGGACCATACAGCGATGCTGAACAACACCATGAGGTTATGTTGAGAATCCTTAGAGCACAGAGAGCACAGTACCCTGAAAACACATAGGCCACTCCATAGCATGCACAAAAGAAGTTTCAGCAGGAACTTTCAGTGAAAAACCGTCCGGTGGTACGACCGCGAAATCGAGGGTGCTACCAGTGAATGATCAGGGCAGCCTGATCGACCATCCTTTTGACTACAGCTGTGAAGGGATCAAAACCTCATCGGCTGGCACGATTTCATTGCTTGTCTGAGTCCGTTGGTTAATTTGCTTACCAGCCTAACTTTCTACAGAGTTCATCCCTACTAATGTAAGCAGTCGCTTTCGCATCTTAGTTTAAATGGGCTTTCTAAAATTCGAGAAATAGGTTACCTGGAACGAACTTACCGAGAAGATTACCTATTTATCCATAGCGTTTCTGTAGGTCTGACTGGAGGGCTTTGCAGCTTCCCTTTATTTTTTGTTGACCTCAAAAAACCAAGAAAACAGTAATTCATTGGAACAAAGAAGCAACCACCAATGGTTTCAAACAACAGCAATCCATAACTTTTATCACAATAAACATCTAAATACAAGAACTCTGAGCATTTCACAAATTACAAAGATAATTACAATGACATATTAGTATATGAAAACGATCCAAGAATTGTAAAAAAACAAACACAAGTTAAAGCAGATTTGTAAGAGATCAAGTAGGGTCCCGTTCAATCTACAAGGCAATTCCTTTAAGGCTTTAATGACAAAGGGACATGAAGAAAATCACAAATTGCATAAAACTCATAACACAGGTCTAGATATGGTTGTCAAATCAACAAGTGAAAGCCGGGTGAAGATTAGTGCGAAATAACCGAAACAGTACAGCGGCTCGAGAAATAATGAAATTGCTTTTGAAGGCACTTGTATAACGGCTTTTGCTAGTTTGAGGACAATATTTTCCAATGGCTTTATTCATAAGTTGGGAGGCCATACAGGTGTCTGGCGTTATAAGTAGTTACTTCAATAACCCTGTTCACATTTATATTCTTAGCCTTTGCAATCACGAATGCAACGTTCACAGCTGGAATAATTAGTATCAATATATGTATGTTCATAAAACACATTATTTTGAAAAATCATGCAATTACAGCAGGAGTATTTGGAAAAAGGATAAAAATGTTCGTATTGGGCACTTTTAAAAACCAACAAAGCAGGCCGAGAAAAGAAGCATCCTTATGACTTCATTAAAAAAAAGTGTCACTTCATTAAATGTCAATTTGAAATAACGTAAGACCAGTGTCAGGGCCAGGAAAAATAAAGCAGCAAAGGCTGACGACAACTAAGCTACCCTTTAGCAGCTGATTTTGCCAAGAAGATTACTGATCGAAGAGAGCAAAAATTGCTCCTACGCTAGTATGCGAGCCGGGAGTGAGTATCACCCTCGTTATGACCAAACCTTCGGATCACCGGGCCGGACTGTAGGCTGGTACTACCAGGTTTAAGCAACACATAGCTACAGCTTAGTCCCTCAGTTTCAAATGACTGTTTTCTAATAGGAGATATGACGGCATTCTGATTTTGTTCACGACATTGACACTAATCCAGATAACAGCAGAACAGAACCATTAGGTTCAATTACTACATTACTCACCCATTGGTGGAAACGAAATTTTATCATAGGGCGAGAAACTTTTGCCATTCCTGACGCAGTCATACTGAAATAAACTTTTTGAACACTTCTAATTTCTAAAATAAACAAAGAATAAAGACAAAACATTAAATAATTCCAGTCATTTTTCCTCTCAATTTGAAGCTCTAAATCGTTCAAATTCAAAGGTTCCCATTGGCAGAGAAGGGCAGTATTGGGACAAGCTATGCTCCAGTCTCCGTCTGGCCTCGCCTCGTGCCATACGGTTTCTCGCCCCTGGTCCACACAGCCCTGTTAATATATCCTCAGGTTCTGGGCTGATTTCATGCCCGTGTCAATTCCACAGCGTGCTCATTGGGCATGATACCGTCACTAAAACAAACCTGGTTAGGCCTGAAGTACGGAGCATCCGTCTCCAACAGTATGTATTCTAAAGGGAGTCGTTTTAGAACTTCGTACTTCTCCTTGTCGTTATGCTCCCACGAGGAAATGACTGATGTAAAACCTTAACATCTAAACATTAGAGGGTATAATTTCGCTAGCGGATGTGCTTACCAGCAAAGATTTTTATAAAACTCAATTATAGATTGAAAAAACAAAATGAGAACAACGTCCAAAGAAGACTTACCAAAATAAACATTACTGAACCTTCGCAACCACTTCAATGCCACATCCCAGTTTTCAGTGAAACAGTGACGATGGATGTTATGAAAACGAGATATTTCCTGAAATTAACAGGAATCAATACTTTATTGAAAGTAGACATTCTATGAAAAGATCCGATGGCAAGGAGCGAATCCAGAGGAGTATAAATCAGGGATTATACCATCTAGATCACACAAGTCTATATTATTATCAAAGAGAATTTCACTCAAAAGAAAAAAAAANNAAAAAAAAAAGCCTTGTTTACACTTTGAACCCACCGCTTCATCTAGAGCCTCTAGGCATGTTTCTTCCGCATTGAGCGTTCCCCTAGGGCCAGAACGACAATGAATAACTATAGGAAGTTCGTAGGCTTTTGCGAGAGACAACTGCGTCATGAACACTTCTTTCTGCACTTTCGGATCTGATTCGCTCCTAGAAGTGAAATATTCCAAAAGATTCTCGGAACCTATTATAACTACGAGCTGATTTACGTCGTTTAAGAAAGGACACTTTGTTGTATGAGGGAGTGATTGATTCGGACACTTACCTCATGTAGTCGATCCCACACTCCCCGATCGCCAGTAATCTGTACTTCTCTCGTTCTTCAATCAACTGGATCAACGTATTTCGAATCTTAAAACAATTCTATGGAAGATGAGACAAGGTTCCTAACACCAAGGGAGTATAGTGTAACATTTTTCTGCTGAGGTTCTATAGAACATCATTCATTTTTTGACCAGTGTGAAAATGAAAAGAAAAATGCTAGAAAAACATTCAAAAAATCACAAGACTAGCTGAACTCGGTAAGAAACGCAACTGCTTGAATGACAAGTCCTTCCCTGCTACGAGTTGACGAACTAGTCCTTTGTCATTTGGGGAATCGAAAATGATGGCTTATGGAAGAAAAAAGGGAAGAAAGGAAAGTGCTTGAAATTAGTGAAAGGTTTGATAAAGTGCCGTTCACTTCTCATTTACTACCATGGAGAGAGTAATACTGTTTACAGGCACGCTTGGAACTGGGTTTCATCCAACACTCAAGTTATCACCAGTTACGAAGAACTTACCGTGTTTTGGAAACCTGTAGCGAAATGAGGGTGACAGCCGTATGTAGCGCCCAACACCGCTGGGTCCTAAATCTGGCACCTGATCAGTTCGAAGATATCACCCACTTCACCACTTACTCTGGGATACTCAACAAAGCACAATCTAACCTGTACTTGCTCTTGTATCCATGTAGGATCATACTGTGAGCTATCACAGCTTTTAGTGAAGAGCGACGGATCAATAAAGTTTGGTATGCACCCTAAACACAATGGTAGTGGGTAAAAAATTTTGAATATTAGTAACGTCTGCGGAAAAAAAAACGAAACAGAGTCCGATGTGTGTACACAAAGAAAAAGTCACCGGCAAAGTAGTTATGCCAAATTGGAGACAAGCATTCTTTCCATATCGCCAAGTTCCCATTACACTTATTGTAGATGAAGTCCAAATGACAGTGTGAATCAATATATGGCTGGATTACGTCTCTCCGAATCTACAAATGACTAAATAAGAACTGTATTGTGATTGGAGACCATAAATAGGGCGTACTACGCAAATATCAATCAACTGTGTTTGCGACTTTCAAAAAGAACAACATCAAGCTGTATTGAAAGAACGTTTGAGCTCTCAAGTTATTATACACGTCTTATTTATGAAGCAGCAACTTGGTGTGTCGGTTTGAAAGTTTGTCGGTTTAACGGTCTGTCCTTCCACAAAACGATGAAGGTAATGATATGGAAAAACCAGCTCTCACACTTCCTCCTTATATATAAAGCATTAAACTGGTGGGTAGCTGGGTAGGTTAATGGAGTGGAGCGAGTGCTGCGCAGTGAAGTGAGTAATGTGAAGTTAAGTTGGTACTTCAAAACTGTGATTTCGATCTGTATTGGCATTGTGTTATGTATGTCTCTGCAAAAATCGGAGGTAACAATGTAGTTGAGAGAATTCCGCTTTTTTCAACATTGGGCGCTAGAGATAAGGAGGTCAGGCCATTATTGTGCTTGGGAACGTTTCTCAGCCAAGGTCATACAGTTTTTTGACCTGATTTTCAGGAGGAAAGGAGCACTGCGGTCGTTGAACTGCCATATTATAAACTATTCAACTCATATCCAATTTTAGCTTTAGGCGCATCGAACGCTTGGTAGCAGGTTCAGCTATCGCGCAAAGCTGCAAACTAAGTGTGGTCACAACAACGACGCTGCTTCCTGCACCGATTTGGCAGAAAATCCGCGATTAACTACAAAAATACAGAATATTTCCAAAAAGAAGAAACCCAAAATCAAGCGCTAGAATACTTAGAATCATTCAGTAGGACTATGAGCAAAAAATGAATGCAACTTCTTATCAATTCTTCGTAACATCCAGAAGAGAATTGAAATATAACCACTGAGAAAAGAACTAAACAAGGTCAAAGTAACACAGCGTTAACTCACATTTCTGTACGAGTGATCCCTTCTTCTATTGATAACAATGCAACCATTCGTGAACTGAAAGGAGAAGAATAGGGATTTAGGAAGAGAAAAAAAACGTCACTGCAAAAACACCGCTGTCAGCAAGTCATTCTCAACAAACTCGAATTATTGTTGCTCCAATCTTGCCATGGTCATTAGAGCATCCTGTATTCGATCGTCTGCCTGACTCATGCACAAATAATCGAGTACAGGGTGTTATTCACTTGGCATGTAGGCTTCTAGCTTCAATCCACGGTAAACAGTACAGATTCAGTTGATAGGTTGCTCATACAACGATTGTTCCTTTAACTGGACGTTGCTGATAGTTTGAAATCATAGGATAGGCCTTTGTGGGTTCAAAATGGACAACAAGGTCAAGCAGAGAACAAGTGTTCTGGAGGTTCTCATGTTCTTACATCATGATCATTTAATGAATCGTATATCCACGCTGAACAATCAAGCTCAAGGAAGGGCCGAATTAGATTATAAAACGTTATTCCAAATATCGTAATGGGACTTACTTCTTTTACAGGTTCTAGGCTTCCGACATCGGGAAGCACTACGCTTCCTGTAGCAGTCTAAAAGAAGCAAGAGCCAGAATATTATACAAATAGTATATGTTATACTTGCTGAATGAACACTAGCTTCAATGAATTCTAAAAAATGGAATGTTCACGTCGCATGCCAAAGAATGTACGATTTTGAGTGAAAATATGCTGACAGGGGTCGCCCCTATTCATATAAGAGATCAAAGTAAAATAAAAAGTAAGGTACTCACATCGTCGCTATCCTTGTGTGTTTCTGTCGACGTAAGATCATCCGATGTCTGAAGTAGTATCCTAGTTTTGAAACAGTAGCGAAGTGTAACAAAAACGACTTATTTCAGAGGTTCGTTCAACAAACATTCACATAAACACTACCTTTATCACCATATACCCTAAAATTCCATAGATAAGAGCGGGTGAACCTACCGGTGAAAAATGAATTGGAAAAAATCGAANTTCGATTTTTTCCAATTCATTTTTCACCGGTAGGTTCACCCGCTCTTATCTATGGAATTTTAGGGTAATAGGATCATTTCCTCATACTCATAAAAAATACTCATAATACTCATAAATCACAAAATAACTTTAGGAATATCAGCACTTAAACAAAGTAATAACGCTCCAAGACAGCAATGGCCTCACCTCTGAAATCCGTCTTCTACTGAGTTGAGATAATTGCATAGCTTCGATATCCGACTGAAACAATGGTTTCGTCAACATTTTAACGCAGACCATTTACAACTAGACTAACTAACAATGATAGTTTCAAACTTGAGATCTTCTGCTCGACTTACGCGAGACTCTTTGTCAGGATGATGTGGAGGATATTGTGAGCTACTTTCATCTTCGACCTTCCTTGAGGACCATGCTCTTGACAGCAGTATATTGTCATCTTCTCTATAATTTAAGTAGCTCAGAAATCTCCCCAAAAACTGGACGTAACCTCTTTTTATTTACGATCCCTTCTTCTTTCCCGAAGTTTGGTCAAAGAGTACATAAAAATTGAACAAATGAAACAGCATTGTATCAACAAAACTAACTTTTGACCTTTGCAGATGGCTGTTGCATTGGTGCTTTCGTTATCTGGTGGTTCTTCTTTGGGAACACCCAAAAGCAATCTGATGCAAACTGATTCTTTTGAAAAAGAAATAAGTAGGAATCATAAAAGGTGATGAAGAAAAAGAATAACATAAGATATATAAGAATTAAGTACAGTACTCTGATAACTAGTACATCTACAATAGGAGATTTCCAGGGAGACAAACACAGAATCATCTGTGAAAAAGGAGCCAGCTCTGAATTTGAACGCTGCGTTTATTCAGGACAACCTTCGAGGTTTTCGAATCATATTAAACTGTTTCATATTTGCACAGCAATATTCTCTCGAACCGTCTCCCTGAACAATCACAAACTCCCATTAAGCTCGTCTTGAGTCCACACCTTTGGGATAGCCCAGTAGTGTAGTAACGTATATTCATGCCACCAATTGCTTGCAATAATCAAAAAAAAATTCCCATCTCAATATAAAGGTGGGCTAACAAAAAGAGAATTAACAATACAGGAGTAGTGGCACTGTGCGAGCATCTGCAAAAACAAGCAGTAATATAAAAGAAAAACTGACTTCTGTCTAATGCAGATATCTGTTGAATTGGCATTTTCACCACCTACTGGTTCGTCGTTAGGAACTTGTAACAGCCTGCTGAACGCAAACTCACTCTTTTCAACAAGAATTTAGAAACAATAATGGAAAGACAGATGAAGATTAATAAAAAAACTGTTAAGGAATCAGCGATAGAGGAAGAAGAAGCAAAATGAACGACTCACATCTGAGCACCAGAAAAGGTTAAATTTTCCTGCTTTTGAATGAGAGAAGGATGCTTCCGCGTAGGTTCCACTTCCAGAATTTGCTTTGGAGAAGTTCTAAAAAAGATATCCTTCCACCCTATAAGAAGTCCTTTCTCAGAAAAAAAAAAGAAGAGGAATGGAGAGAGCTCACATTGGAGGGTCACTAGTTCTGGGTGATAGCTTTTTATGCTGAAGCTTGTTAACGTAAAGAGGCTGGTCAGGATGTTTCTTCCTTTTTCCTATATAAATTTACACACATAGCTCATAATATTGGAATCGTGAAGATGTAAAGAAAAGACAGAAAGATATCGAACCCACTTTCCTTGTTTATGGAATCAACCGATGGAGATGACTGTGGAGATGAGGAACCGGATGCAGCCGGTGGAGACTGCTTAAACTTGAGGTAACAGGAAACAATGGACAGTATTCGAGACAAAAGTGATTAACACAACTATTTCTGGGCTTTGCAGCACAGAAAACTTACCTTGCAAAGGCTGTTAAAAAAGCAAGCGTCCTAGGGTACAAAACACACCGAAAATAGGAGGTAGACCCCCTAACGTTACCAGCTTGCTACTGACAGATGAAATAGTGACAATAAAACCTTTACTCACACACACATCATTGCCGACGGTGGCATCATTACTGATCCCTGGTGAAGGCTCCTCGATGTTCTAAAATGTACAAAATACGATGACATTTGGTCAGCACTTGAAAGCAAACCAACCTGCAATTCAGGGTTTTGCATCGTTTCGAGATCGCTGCCGTAAACGTAAGATTCCCAAAAATCCTGATTTTGGTAAGAGGCTGCTAAAACTGGTGGGGAAGAATGATGAAGTGACTGACTGTGAATAGGAACTAAATGGGAAGTGATTAGTGATGCGAGCTTCACATAGATTCCATACCACAGCTAGGAAATTCTTGTGGTCTGTGAGAGCAGTTTCACCGGCTGCACTTTTCAGACAATTATTGCATCAAAAAAGAGGTAAAGTGGTAGTCGCGAATACCCGTCGCCCCAGTCATAGTGCTCTCAGTCATAGAGCATCCAGAAAGGTAAAAAGGAAGAGCATATGCACTTTCTCAAAAAACAGCCACGTAGACATTTACGGCAAGTAGTAGAAAAAGAAGGGGTGTATGCCTGACCGATATTGTGGTCATTCCTGGCTACTGACCCGTTAGTAACCGAATCGCCAGTTGCGGCACCAGTGTTTTACTTCCGTTCGACACCAAAAGTGGACAGGGAAGAGTCATCGTTGAAGAAATAGACGAGGTCAGCTTTTGAGTACAAGACAGGTTGGCATACTTATGCATAGAACACACATGGTGAACATTGTAATTCTGAATTCTGTTCTGTGACACTAAAGCAAATGATGACAAGGCTATGGATAACAAATACCACTGGTCTGCAGTCAAAATGTCAGACTGAGGACGCCTTTCGAAAGGTCGTGCTGCTGAAGTGTGATTCAGATGTTCGTTTGGAATTACTACACGAAATCACATTTCGGCTGGTCATATGTTATCGAATCATAGGAAATAAAAAATTGAAGACTTCTGATAATTTCTGATAATTGTTCTTGATAAAAATGGATCAAAAAATTTATGTAAGCTCCATTTCGATAGAAGAAATTTGTAAATGGATCGAAGCGAATGATTGGATTTCACCTAACACCTCTTTTTCCTGAAGGGTCGTCTTCGGATTTGTGGTTTGAACAAGGGCTGATCACTACAAATCATTGTGTATACCAAATATGCTTCAGATATCTCGAGCCGCTGTAAATGACTAAACAGAATACTGCGGCTAAAGCCGATCGTGAGTCGTTTGGTTTGTGACAGCCTAGTTATCATCAGCATCACTTTCACAACATACGCATCGATCGTGCTATGCGCCGAAGACGCTCACACGTCTATTAAAACTTAACGCAAGCTTCTTATTGTACATTAGAAATGCTCTTTAATAGAAATCAAAACAAATCAAGGGAAAACAAGTACTTTGCCG